CCGTCCCCGCAAGGTGCTCGGCGAGGCGGTTTGCAATGACTCTTTCAAAGAGCTTGCCCACCTCGTCGAGCAGCACCACGGGCCGGTATGCGGACGGAGAGTCCGCAGGGCGCCCCGGCTTCTGAATGAGGACCAGCTTCCCCGTCTTCCAACGAAGCGGGAATTGGCCTCTCTCCAAGCATGCGCTTAGGAGCCCCTCCAGTCGGGGCCCGAGAGCCTCCGAGGCCAGGACCCAGGCTTTGCCAGGCAAGCCATCGGGTCCTGGGGCGGTATTCCTGGCCTTAAGCCTACGTACCGCCACTCTCAGGTCTACCCCGGTCCCTTCCGGGATGCCGTCGTCGTCGTCCTGGTGGTCCGCTTCCGGCACCGCAGATGGCGGAGCCATAGGCGGGGGCGGGTGTTCCCCTCGCGCAGGAAACAGAGCGCTCACCACGTCCTCCACGAGCTGAGGCCGAAGACTCTGCGTCAGCGGGGGAGCCCAGGTGCGGAGTTTATCCCGTACCATCTTATAAGGGCGCCCCCACGGATCTCTGTCGAGAGTCTCCAGCATCTCCTCACGGGCCCGATCCCGGGCCCGCAGGATAGCCTCCCGGAGGGCGGTCTTCGCCGCTCTGTATCCCTCGTACAGCTCCGCCTCAATGGCTGCCGCATTCGGTGGACGAATGCGGAGCCTGCGATGCCTGGCGTACAGGTGCCGCGCGGCGACACACGCCTCGCGTAGAGACGTCAGCTCACGCGACCACCAATACACCTGGCGCCGGGCGCTTCCTGGCCGGACGCGGGGCATTGCCACGTCACATATCTCGGACATGGCCTCCTGGAACCACCCTGCCTCATCATTGACGTCGGCAGGCCTATCCAGTGATGACACCCAGGCCTGCACGATCGAGGCTTCCAGGAGGAGCTCCCGGTCCAGCTGCTTCAGCGCCCAACGCGGACCACTCGGGGCCTGTTGGACTGGCGCGCTCGAGGGCTGGGTGGAGACGTCAAACCGGATGTACCGGTGGTCGGAGTAGGTCTCCACCCCCTCCATGACTCGCCAGTCAATGGCACGCGGCGACAGAGCGGGGCTAGCGAACGAAATGTCCACCACCGACTCGCCCCGCATCCGCACACACGTGGGGACAGAACCCCGATTTAGGACGACCAGGCCTGTCTCCAGAGCCCAGTCTTCCACCATCCTACCCCGCACATCTGTACGACGAGAACCCCAAGCCAAGTTCTTGGCATTGAAGTCCCCGAGGACAAGCACGGGGAGGGGATAGCTTCCGACGACGACTGCTCTCAGCTCTGCAAGAGAGTTGTGGAGCTCGGCGAGAGATCGGTTCGGGGAGAAGTACACCCCCACAACGACGAACTCCCCGAACCGTGCTGCTACGCACCCCTGACCCCTCCTGACACCTTCAAGGGTCGGGGTACCGGCGGCGGCCGAAGAAATGATGGCCACTGAGCCGTTAAGGTCCGCCACCCAGTCCTTCCTAGGCCAGACAGAATACGGCTCAGCGACCACAGCGATGTTAATCGACCACTGCGCCATGCTCTGGAGCAACAGATCCTGAGCGCAGGCGCAGTGGTTGATATTCGCCTGGAGGAAGCTTAATGGGGCCGTTATAGGCATTCCATTTCAGCTTCCTCCACGGGGCGCCCCTCTGCAGGCGTCGGTATCGCGGCGGCGGCGGCGACAGTGACAGCGGCGGCGGCGGCAGTTGCATCTGCGGCGGTGGCCATAGAGGCGGTGGCGGCGGAGGAGGGCCCTCCCCTACCCGCGGCCTTGGCCTTGGCGGGTGACACGCAGGCCCTGCTCCCGGCCCAGTGATCGGCTGGCTTGCCGGTCGCCGCACATGCATCACAGTGCGGCGTGGCACAGCAGGTCGCCGATATGTGACCGGGCTGACAGCAGCGGAAGCAGAGGCCACTGCGGTCAACCTCCGAGGCGCATTTCGCTGATACGTGATGCCCCACGAGACAGCGGTAGCACCTCAGAGGTCTGGGCTCCAGCAGCTTAACCTGCGCTGAGACCCAGCCCACCAGAAGCCTTCGGCCCTCCACTATGGCTTTGGCCGCCGTAACAGGGCAGCACACCGTGGCGGCATGCATACCCTGTTGGTCCGGGCGTATGGCGCCTGACCTGACCTGGTCAGTAGTGCACCCCCCGGACCTGGCGACGGCGGCCACCAACTCCTCCTCCGATACCGAGTCGTCCAGACCCATGACTCATTCAGGCCCTAAAGAAGAACTTTTAGGATTATTACCACTCAAAGGTCAGACGCGTGGAGAAGATATCGCAAATGTTGTAATTAAGTGTATGGATAAACATCGTATTCCCCTGGATAAAATTGTGCCGATTTCAACAGATGGGGCCAAAAGTATGACCGGCGTAAGAAAAGGATTTGATGCTATTTAGAATGAAAAAATTAATCATGAGATACGTGTTTACCATTGTATCATTCACCAAAAAACGCTTTGTGCGCAAACATTTCCGGATGTAATTTGTAAAGTTAATGAATTAGGGATTACCATTATCAACTCCATTTTAGCTAAAGCTCTTAATCATCACCAATTCAAAGAATTTTTATTTGAAATGGAGAGTGAGTACGCTGATGTTCTGCTTCATAACAAGGTTCATTGGTAATCAAGAGGGAACGTTTTAAAACGTTTAGCGTCCATTTTTTCGAAAGTTAAAGCATTTTTCCTTTGGAAGGGCGTTCACAATCCAGAACTAACAGATGTACAGTGGATCCAAAACTTTTATTTTTACGATAGACCTTACGTCTCATCTAAATCAGCCTAATCGTAAACTAAAAAGGAAAGGAAAATTAATTTTTTCGACGTTGGAAGAAGTAATAACATTCGAAAACAAATAATCCATTTTTGCTCAGGATTTTGAAAGGGAAACATTGCTTCATTTTCCGAGCCTGCTGAAGCATCGCCAAGAAAATAATTCCTCTATTGATAAACACCATATTAAAACAATAATTTTAAATAAGAGGGAAGCATTTCTCAGCAGGTTTCAGGAATTTAAAAACAGCAGAGCAACTTTTTAGCATTTTTTAAAAATCCTTGTTATGCTACGATAACCGAGTTGAAATTTTCTCCCTTTGAAATTGACATTGGTTGCTTTGAAATACAATTGCTGTGATTAGAAAAACAAGGGGATATGGCGCTCTAAATTCGAACGTCTTTGTGTTGAATTGGAAATATTCTAAAAGAAAAAATGTTATCTTATTCCACAACACAAGTGATCTGCTTTGTATGACCTGGAGAAGGAAGACTTCAAATCATTTTCAACGCTTGGAATAATATGCCTGACTCTTACGATCAGCTGAAAAAGCTCACGTTTGCTGTTTTTTCCTTTTCGGTTCTACATGTATATTATGTGAACAATCTTTTTCAAGCATGAACATTATCAAGAGTTAACTGAGAAGTAGTCTTATTGATGAGATTTTGGAATCATGCTTAAATTAAAAAAAAAACAACATATAAACCTAACTTACTCAAACTTTCCAAGGAGATGCAAGCACATTGTTCGCATTAATTTAGTGTACTACTAATTTAGTGTAATAAGAGTTTACCAAATAAGCTGATTTGGCTCCCAATTTTTTTTAAATTGTTGTAATGTTCATATTTGGCTCTTTGGCTAATAAGTTTGCCGACCACTGCCCTATGGCATTAAGTCCGCCATATGTACAACTTTGTGCATGAAAGAATAAATAAATAAATAAATAAAAATTCATTTTCAAGGTATCCTCTTAACAGGCCCTGACAACAAACAGCACAGTCGCAATGCGGGGATTGCTGCAAATGTCTCAATACTGCGGAGAACTCATAGCCGCATAGATATCACTCTGTGATTAAATGGTAACTCTAGAATGATATAGTGCTAATTTTCAAATACCGATTCGCATTGGACTTGTATTTTCATTCCAGGGTAAGAATGTCCACTACCCCATATCGTTCCATGGTTGTCAGTATGGGGCGATAGAGGAAATCTAAAACACGAGCGTCTTCCTGATAACAAACAACTCAAAATAATAAAATAATTGCGGTTGCCAAACTGCCTGCCAAGCGTGGCAACTATTGTAAAATCCCGTTATGTCAATCTATAGGGGAGGCTTATGTTCAACAGTGACTTTTAAAGATGTAATGGATTAATGGATTCGCATGTTTTTTCTTCATCAGTCCATAAACTCATCCATTCTGAACATCTCAACTGGGACGAATTTAAATTACTAACAAAAAATCAAACTAAAAATACGTTTAGGAGAGTGAGACAGGGTAAAATGTGCCGGGTAATTTTCTTATTTTTTTAGCGGCTACATCAAGATGTTTTGCTGCGTCCCTAGTGTTCAGTACGTCCCTAAGAACTACTCGAAAGAAAACGTGCATTGAATGTATGAGTGTAGATAAACAGTTAATACATTGCGACCGCATCACCACTTACCATCAGGTGGTATAGTAGTCAAGCACTTCTATTCATTCATCTTATCGTCTTATAATGATTTAAAAAAAAACTTTTTTGTTTTTAGAAAAATATAAAACCGCAAACCAGCATTCGTCTCTTACCTATTTTACTTATATCCTAGTTCTTTTCTTCGACCTTTTACAGTAGGTACTACAGTTGCACATATGCTGTTACTAAGGACTACACTATATCTGCTAGTAAGGATAATTTTCCAATATCACCTCACTTGGCAGTCGTATTTCATAGTAGTAACTACCAATAGTAGATGTGTCGAATATGTAACTATACGATCTTCATTAATCTTGAACTTGATAATAACTTACTGACCCATATAACTGGATATGGGCATAGTGATGAATAAACAGACCAATAAAAATATCTAGACAACTCGAAAGATTACGATCTTTTAAATATTGAACAAAACTATTCAACGATGTTGAATATTTTTCAACATTATAATAACTTACCCATATCACTGGATAGTCTAAGTCATTATGTACTTTATGAACAGACGAATAAAAACTTGATAACAACTTACCCATAGCACTGGATAATCTTGGGCATAGTGTACTGAGCATTCCAAGTCAACCGATCCGCCTATATCTCTGATCTGCTCTTGAGTGATATGGGAGATCGTCGGTGTGCGCAGGCCGGAAGCTGTAACAAAGTCCTTTTTTTAATAATGTGTAATGGCTTATACCATACATTTCTATAGTCCGTTTCTTTCTTTCACCTGCGTTTTAAAACATTATTATTGAATATGAACTTTGTAAAGTTAGTCAAAGTCAGTCAATTTTTAAATTGGTCTTTACAAAACACTTTTTGAAACCTCCTCCTGCGGAAATGCTTGTGAGAAAAATAACTATACACTAATGGTAAATGAAATCACCATGACAAGGAAATACGTCACATACGTAGACCCGCTAATTTCTAAGAGGCATTGGAGCAGAAAGGAGTCTTCACGTATCCTAGAAATACTTTTATTTCGTTTTCTATACGTGCAGCTATCAATGATGAGTAGGAAATCTGCAGTACAATAGAACTGCTGATTTCCTACTCGTCATTGACAACCATTATTCCCATCGGAGTTAGACTATTGTCCAACTCCGATGGGAATAGTGGTTGTGGCTTTGTTTTGAAGTTTTATTTCGTTGTTGCAAATGTATCAGAATTGATTATATGCAGATTTCTTTCTTAATTAATAGTAATAATAATGTCCTCCGAACAAAATTTCAGTCACGGCGGCCAGTATCAACTGAGACTAGCCATCTGCACACAAGATTACAAATGCCCGAGTGTAAGCACAGGTGCATTCTCCATTCCCTCACTCTCATAATCCGATGGAACGGTAATCCGACACGACCGGAGATCGAGAGCTGGACCAACTTTACCCACACGTACACGGAGTGAAACACCGCCAACTTAGCACAGGTGCATTCTCCATTCCCTCACTCTCATAGTCCGACGGGACGGTAATCCGACACGACCAGAGAGAGATCGAGCGCAGGACCAACTTAACGTACACGCAAACGGAGTGAAACACCGCCAACTTCCTGACTCTGTGCTGCTATTGAGTATTTCTTTACAGAAAAACCCAATAACTGATTTGGCCCGACCCGGGGTTCGAACCTTACGATCAGCAACCGCGTTTACGACCACTAGTCCAACGAGGCAGTCTTATTAATATCTTACTAGTCGCCTAGTCATCGAAATTCGTATTTTTTTTTTAGTTTTGTTTATAAAGCAAGCTGTATTTCAATTTCATCTTCAAATTCAATCTTTTTATATATAATTCTTTTGTTCGTATGTATGATGTGAATGAACTCTTGAACAGCTGGATCGATTTCGATAAAATTCACAATTGGACCCGGTAGGTAATGCCGCTGTCGAGATCCAGAAATCGTATATGATAAAACACAGATGTCTTATAATTAAACAAAATATAAAATAAACGCTTCCTGCGGTTTTTTTTTTCTTCTCGTCACGTATTAATATAATAGAGACTTAATATTACACTATTATTATTTCATTATATGTGTGGTAGAGCCACGTTGCAGCTATATTATGGATGGTGTAGTGTGAACGTATCGGCTCGACCGGGAAAAGACTCACAGAACACTACCAGCTTGATGTATAGCGAAACTGCAACAAATTTGTACCTTGGAAATGAAACGACAATTTTTGCGATGTAAATTTAAAAAAAAAACACAAATACAGTTGCAATATTATGAAATACAAATGCAGACTTTTTGCAACGTTTGTAAAAACATGAGGGCATCGTCCCCAGTAGTTACAGGGAAAGATGGCGGAGCGATTACGAATTACTGAATTAGGGAACAGAGGGATGAGGGAGGTTTTGCACATTTTAGGCACAACTGAACGACCTGCTTCCCGCTTTCCAGTTTTGTTTTAGCTTTTTGGGCCGGTTAATTAAGTTTTTTTAACCCGGTTAATTCATGTTTTCTGCCGACTTCCAAAAAGGAGACGGTACTCAATTCCACTGTATGTTATTTTTTGTGTGTTACCTCATAACTTTTTACTGGGTGAACCGATTTCGATGATTCTTTTTTTATTTGAAAGCTGGTACTTCTCGTGTGGTCCCATATGATCAAGGTCAGACCAATAGTTTTTGAGTTATTCTTAATAATTTATGTTGAAGTCGGCTGTATAAAACTTTTAATTATTACGTTAATTTTTTTTAAAGAACTACTTATTCCAGAGGTCCGATCTATCTTCAAGCTGTTCATATTTTTATATGAAGCGAAATTTACTGCAAGTACTCTGTAAATAACATAAATGAACATGTATTTAGGAATCATTCTAAACTACCGCTTACGTGGGGGCCAGAAAATTTTATAGAATAAACCTAGCAAGCTAACAGCATAGCAAAGTGGCGAAGCAATCAGCTTTGTAGCGGTTTCTAACGGTTGCCGTTGAGCAATCAGTTTCAAAATAGGAGGTTCAGATGCCGGGTGATCAGTAATCGATTGCTGAAAACAGAATTTGAAAATTCGAAACCGTTCTCGAGATAATCGTGGGACAGACGACAGACATCGTGAAATCAATAAGTGACTTCGCAAGCTTCGCCACTTAATAAGAGTGACAAACGAGGACACAGTCCCCCTAATGCTAAGTGGATGCTGTGGCCCTAGACATCTACATTAATACTCAATTAAGAATCAAAATACAGAAGCGTTGTCATCCGTGAGGATTAAGATGGAATGCCTCGTATCAAGGAAAAAGCGGCTCCGGTTCTCTACACTCACCATACGAAACACAGCATCATTGAGTTGCTATTTTGGGCAGGTATTTTGTGAGAACGTGATCCTAGCCAGGTAAGCCGACCCATTCGTGCTACAACCACCATATAGCTGCAGCATGGCCAACCACGTAAAAAAAAAAAAAAAAACAAATGTAAAATTTTGTATGAAGAAAAACCAATTTATGTTTTTTTTTTAACTTGAAAAGTAATGTAAATACTTTTAAATGAAAATTAATAAATATATTTTTTTTTATTTTTTAAACGTACCCTAATATAAGGTTTAAAAACTAGGCTACACAGACTATCACATGCAAAACTACTAAAAATAGACGTAAAAGGTTGAATTTGGAGCAATAGGTTCCTTTTATTACGTAGGAATACACTAGGAAAGAATTTTGTAAAATTCGACCCTTAAGTGGATGAAATCAGGTATTAGAGTTTGTATGAATGTTATGTTACAGGGCGATTGACTCAAAACTTACTGAAGCAACTGATCTTATCAAAGATATAATAAAAAAATACTGAAATTAAACTTTTAAAAACTATTTTCAATCAAATAATATATTCTTTATTATACAATAATTTAAAATTAAAAATTTTGTACAGCCGACTTCAATATAAGTTATTAAGAATAACTCAAAAACTATTGGTCTGACCTTGATCAAATTCATATGGGACCACAAAAGAGGTACCAGCTTTCAAATAAAATAAGTATCATCGAAATTGGTTCACCCAGTAAAAAGTTATGAGGTAACACACATAAAAAAACATACAGTCGAATTGAGTACCGTCTCCTTTTTGGAAGTCGGCACAAAATACACAGTGAAACAAACTCAAATTAAATAAATAAAGGAATTACAATAAGCGGTCTTATCGCTCTGGAAGCTATTTCTTCCCGACAACCTTATTACGCAAAGTAGAATGGCTAGGGGGATGTACATAAATTAAGCAATTATGTTAAATACAAATAAAATAAAAACACACAATGATAACAGTTAAGGAAAGTAGGTTGGATACAAGAATGGTCGAGAAGTATGAAGAGAAATGTTAGAATTTCAAGTAATAAGCTTTGAGTAGATTTTTGAAGAAAAGAAGGGATTGAACACGACAAATATGTAACGGCAAAGAATTTCACAACTGTCACAGAAAATGATTTATTGATGAAAGAGGACGAATGTACTGGAGTACGATAAGAATGATTGTTAGAGTGATATTCACTTTTCGAAAGGCCTAAATCTAACTAAAAATCTTCCACCATGAGCATTCCGAAATATGAGAAGTATCCACGTGATAGCTTGAGCTCTCCGTATTATGTGATCTCACAATAAGCGTGAGTCATGACTGCCCAGACGTTATAACTTCGACGCGGGTAACACCGCGGGGCGATCGGCTAGTCTATACAAATAAATAAAATTAAAATGCCTATAAAAATATATACGGACCTTATAACAAAAAAATTTTTTTGAAATTTTTGTCTGTCTGTTTGTTCCGGTTAATCTCCGTAATGGCTGGACCGATTTTGACGGGATTTTCACTGGCAGATAGCTGATGTTATAAGGAGTAATTTAGTCTACTTTTATTTTAGAAAAAAAATTTGGGTACTACGCAAAAAAAAATAAAACCCATGAATTCCAATCACAATAAATTCCACGCGGCCGAAGTTCCGGGTAACAGCTAGTTCTCTTTTACCACGCATGACAATCGCATGATTTATTGTGAATTTCATTCATTTTTAAAACTTTATAATACGTTAACAACTGTCTATCCAAGGCGATAGATCTTTATGGACTTTTCAATTAAAAATCAGAGTGAAATCGCAGAGCAGAAAATTGCGTTAATTTTCAAAATGACGCCATAATGTTAAAGCGCTCGTAAACAGGCTAGTTTTGTGGCAATTTTTTGCTGCAATTGTATAGCCGTCAAATTGCCATCTAAGCAAAACGCGGTGCAATGTTGTTTAGCCTATAAGCTCATGGTTGCTTACGTATATGAACTTAATTGCTTGACGATATATTTGAAGCCCCAGAATATACTGCTCAAGGTGTTGCACGATAACATTACAGTAAAAGTATAGCTGACAGTATTAAGACAGTGTAAGGTTTCCAGCAAGATGCAATTTTTATAGCCCATTTACGAATACATTATAGAACCGTACACAATAAAGTTAATTCTGCAGTAAGACGCTCTCAATTTATTTTAAAGCTATTAAATAAGTTTTTCTATAATGTCAATTATTTCTCATTTAACGAAGCATACTACTGCATATCCAGATTACAATCTTTAGCTCGAAAGCCAAAACCAAACTTGGTAAGATAATTAGCTTTATTAATTTTTCTTTTATCTTCGTCAAAATACAGAGAGAGATACTTTATAGAAAGACTGTGCAATCGCGATA